TGCTCGCCTCTTTTCCCACAATTCACCTCTACAGCAGCGCGGCTCTTCAGATGAGTGGTATGGAGGCCCAGGAGTGCCACTTAAAAATAAAAATGAAGAATCAGCTCATCAATTTAATCATTCAAACATAAAAATGTATATAAATAAATCACTTTTTAAATGGACAAATTAATAGATATATTTAAAGTTGTTTATTTAATTTGTGTTTTTAAATGTAGTTTAATAAAACAATAAATAAAAAAAAAGTCATTTTTAAATGTATAAATAAATAGACAAATTTTTAACTATTTAATTCATGTTTTAAAATGTAGATTAATAAAGTACATTAATAAATCATTTTAAATGCACATTTTAAATCGCTTTTTAAAAAAGCATTTGCCAAATGCTTTTCTTTGTCGTTTTGTCAGTCGAGTTAAAAAATGCCATTGGACAGAACACACGTGGGAGCAACCAATCAACTTTCGCCTCGATCTGAAGAGCCAACCCCTCTCTCACTTGTAAATGTAACACGCACTGTCATTGGACAGTGAGAACAGCTATACGTCATTACAGCGGGAGTTTGAAGCGGGTTCGATCGATGCAAAATGTCAGGGGAATCTGAACGTGTTTGGAGAGGGATTGTGGATGATTTGTTAGCTTTAGCTCATTTCCGCAAAAGAAATTCTCCTCTCGATTCTCATTTTATGCATAGAAGAGTTTTACAGTTGAGGAAAGACGTTGAAAATGCAGCGGATAATTGTGGTTGTACAATAAATGGAAGGATTTGGGTTAAGGAATGCTTCTTTGTTTACAAAATTACAAATTTTATTTTAAGTAAGATCTATGCATTTATAAATTAAAGCATTTCTCGTCTGGGGTGAGAAAAAAAACAACATTTTTTGATTTAATTCTAGAGATTATATAATCCAGAAAAATATCTAGAATTAAAAAGTTGCCTATATATTATAAATATCGTTTGCCACTGACTTAAGTAGCAAATCAAGGTTGCAAATAAAGGCTGTTTAAAGAAAAATTAAGAAATGCACACATGCACTACTGATCAAAGGTTTAGGTTAAGGCTAGATGGTATTCAGATTCATCTACTGGGCATGCGCACATCAATATAGTGTAAGTTTTGTCACACTGTAAAACAATAATTACTGTTTTTGCATTATTGTAAGGGCTAGGTTTAGGGTTGGGGTAGGTGTAGACGTTAATAAACACAATCTAATAGGTAAAAAAAAAATTATTTATTGTTAGCTTCCGGTTTTAGCTGCATCCCTTCTAGCCACAACCAAAAGTTTAGGGTACAATTTTTAATTTTTTTTACAAAAAATAATTAATACTTTTATCAAGCAAGGACGCGTTAAATGGTTCAAAAGTGTCAGTAAAGGCATTTATAATGTTGCAAAAGTTTCAAATAAATGCTTTTTTTTTTACTTTCTGTTCATCTGTGAATCCTGAAAAATAAAATGTAAGACGGTTTCCACAAAAATATTGTGCAGCACGACTGTTTTCAACATTGATGATAATCAGAAATGTTTCTCGAGCAGCAAATCAGCATATTAGAATGATTTCTGAAGATCATGTGACACTGAAGACTGGAGTAATGATGCTGAAAATACAGCT